GGTAATTTGCACTCGAGAGATCACCTCTTATGGGTAATTTGAGCTTGAAAAATCTCTTCTATGGGTAATTGCAATTGAAAGATCAATTAAGTATTATTTAGTTTGCCGAGTAAACTGATGGACTAAAATTTATTGCTACAATTTGAAATATGATGGGATGAAAAAAATAAAAGTAATATTAATTAACAATTAATATTATATTAATATCAAACTTACATTAATGTGAAATGATCATAGATGCATTCTGAAACTGTTGGTGATATTATTTGCAGCACATTGAATAGAGCATCAATCATCAGAAATGATACGCCAAAATTACATCTCAGGAATGGATTAGCAAATACGAAGAATTACCTGACAGTTGAAACGGAACAAATGGTATGAAGATAATGATTTATGATACAAATTATAAATTGCTCAAATAAAATAATTGAAATCTGAAAAGGAGCTAATCCGAAATTCACTAATTTATTAATTTATAGTCTGATTAAGAGGAGACATTTCAACTGAGGACAGGTATACTACTATACCTGTGATACTCCTCTTATCATTGCAATTAATCGATATTTCCTTCTGCATACAATGCTCAATTTACTGTTTTACTGTTAAAGTCATTTGTATACATTTGTTTTCATGTATTATTCATCAAATCTATTACAGTAATATTATTGTGACACTATTTTACATTCGTATTTTCAATACCGAAAAAAAATGAAGCTTATTTGCTAAAAAAAAAAAAAACACTCCGATTGATAATTTTATGCATCATTTTTCAAATTTTTAAAGAAATCGATTTCAATATCCATTGAATGAAATTTTTTGAATGATTCAATCTATTTGGAAACATTACGTTCTTATCACTATCATGTACTGATAAGATGAGATTTAATATATATGCAGCATTTATTATTCCTAATATTTTAGCTTAATCAGCCAAACAAATGAAAAGGTCACAGATATTTACAGTACTAATTTTAAACACTTTCCTTTTTGTATATATTGAATGCTACTAAATAGATTGTAAATTATGGTGCTAATGATTCATATGGACATATGTACATAACACTTTTCATTATTTATAGCGGGGGAAAATAGAACGATCATTCGCGGAGCATTACAATCATTTTGATCTTTTCCACCACCCAATCAGTCAATCATCTTATTTTATCATTTAAGCATTTCTCTCTTGAGACTTATACTTATGTGTTGATAGTATTACTACATCTCAAGGATTATCCAAACCAAAAAAAGGATATCTTCTGATTCGTTCGTTACGTACTGTACTATGATTAGTAAACGATTCCAAAAACTGAAATGAGCGAGAACCACCATCTGTCATTAAAAATTGTCGAAAATGCAGTGTATGAGGAGCAAATTACTTCGTTTACTTTAGTTTCCCGGCCACTCAAGTGTGAGAATTAAAGTTGAGTCGATTCTGTTAATTTTTTGACAATAAAATAGCAGAAGGGAGTTAATAAATTAAGCGATAAATCCTCCAGATTAATTAAGCCATTTCAGCAATACCTACCAATGAAACCAATACCGTTTGTAGGATAATACAATATTTTCTTCTTGAACTGCAACGATAGGACGGTGAAACGATATAAAACATGAAGTATTAATAATTTATTAAATGCTCAGCATACTGCAGAAATGAAAATTAAAAATATAAAAATATACAATGCAAATATGTTTACATAATTGTGATTTCATGTGACATCCAACTTAACCTTTTTCATTTATACAAATTACTTAAGTTAATCTTATTGTTACAAACTTCGAATTATAAGTATTCCAAAAAATCAACCTCCCCATTTCGCTCCAATAACCACATCTGCTAAGGTGAATTTTGAATAAATTATTTTGAACTAAGAAATTTCATTTCACTCGCATTTCACTTGCAATCTGTCATAGTTAAAGCCGACTGTCAGCATTACTCTCACGCTAAATATAAATGATCCCTACACTCCTGCACCATATTTGAAGGAAAGATTTAAAACCATTTGCCAAGAAGCTTCCAAACATAGCATCTGGGCGACTAATAAGATGTGCAACCATTAGCTAACGAAATTTCAAATAAAAAAAGCGAAATACGCATATTTATAAGATTTGCATAAAAAGCTGCACGGGCTTTACTGCGTACTAATTGAAAATGAAGTTGCAGCGCGAGCGTCGACTGTCCAACGTACTGCGTGCAATGGTTTGGAGGAAGTCATCGATTTGGAAAACGTCTAATTCCATCCTTATCAAGAAAGAAATTCATATGTTCCGAAAAACAATAATAATAGTAACAACAAGTATTAACAACGATAACAATGCACAAAATGTGATACTAAAAACCATGCAGCACGAGTTCAACACTTAATTATGGTGAAATAAATACTTAAGGCGATCAATAGTACTTCATGAAATTTAATCCGTAATTAAATGTTATCAAAACATTTTCTCCATCTGTTCCTAAAGTCAATCAATAAATCTTACTTAATAACGTAATTTGCATGCACAATACATGCAAATTTATATGCATGCAACACTAAATGTGTTGTTGTTTAGCAAGCAACACAAAGTAGCTATTATCGCGACAATACAAAGTAGCCATTATCGCGAAAGAATTTGTCTTACTGTGCATGGCCTTATAGCAAACGGTATACATTAACATCGGGAATGATTAGCTAACTGCAGCATATTCCAGATGTTTTTACCAACAGCAGCATAATTATTGATATAAAACATAAATTACTGATAAACTTTCTTTTCTAAGAAAATACAATATAAGAATATGTACGAAGAATGTCATTTCTATTTATAAAAATTACATACTATTCTGCTGATGTGAGACCAGAGAGTATGCAAAAATGAGATGCATAGAAACTATACAAAGAATAAGATTTGAAACTAAAAAAATGAATGTTTTCAAAGGAGGAAGGCAAAGTCCTTTGAAACGAATCTTTGAATTGGGTATACACAACTGAAAGTTTAAAAAAACAAACGAATGTCGAAGGGCGAGTTTGGGATAATAATATAAAAGAGGAACAAGAAGCATTTCAATAATAATGATCCAACGATTGAAAGGAATGTCAATGTCTAAGGTGCTACGGAAACTTACCGCGGCACATATATTATGCAAACTAATGCACTGCAGGAGAGACAGGAACACGCAGGAATTTTCTTGTTTTGATATGCTAGCACCTGGTCAAGATAATGAACTGGACAGACAGAACTGATGGCAGATCTTATAAAACAGATAGAACAGAGGAAGATGACTATAACAAAATTGTATAGTCATATTTCAAAATATCGAGTATCCCAGCAATCTTGGTAGTAGGTAGTAGCGTAAATACTATTACTGTTAGTCTTTTCCAGTTCAGGAAAAATCCACTCTACATTATCTGCTCATGCAAGCACACGTTTTGGGTCTATTCATGCGGTACGGTAGACAAATAAGGTTCATGTCGTCGATGTTCATCCAAAGCTCGGTCAATATTTGGATTATGTGGTAGTTCGCTCTTTCGACGTACTAATGGTCGTTCTTGGACATAGTCCACCGCCTGAAAGTAATTTTTCTTTCATGAGAAGCCGAATAAATTTTTTAAAACAAAATCAATCTACATGCAACAATATACGTACATATCGTGCTGCTTGTTGCTTGATTTTAGTTGGATCCACTGGTTCCATCCCCGCATTTTCATTAATCGAAAGCAATGCTAGTGAACTACACGTGTTGCGTAATTGTTGGCTAACTTGCGAGAACTGAAATATATACAGCCATCATTAAGTAACACTGATAAGAGATGGAAGAATGATGCCAAGCATACTGAAAAATCCCCTATATTAAATACTAAGTCAAGTTTTTGCCTGAGGATTTTGGCGGGCTTTTCTTTCGATCAATTCCCATTTCAATAATTTTTCCTTCAATTTAGCGTTTTCGTCCTCGCGTTCACGATTAAAATTTTGAGAACATTCATCGAAAAGCCTCTGATTAATTTCCATAAATAATTTGAGTGCATTATAAATGAGTCCGTGAATTGTTCTATAATAAATATGTATATATGTGCATATAATGCATTATAATAAGAGTAGTTGTTTCTAGTGTTTCTTTCACTAGAAACAACTGCTAAACCCTGATTCATTGTAGCTGCAACCTAAAGAACAATAATACAATGCAATTTTTTCAAATAAAAAGCGATAAAACTTGCTCACTTATTCCAATGGTTTTTTGAATTTCGATAGAGTGCCGGAAACATGATGGGCAAGATTACAACAGCATTGTCACTGATTAATGACATGATATATTCGTTGTTCCAGTAATAAAGCGCTCTTTCGGCTACCTAAAACAAAAATTATAACGTGGATTTCTTGAAGAAGTATGATGCCCTCTCGCAATGAACAACGAATTATCAAAATCTGCCTTTTTCTATTATCCTTACACATGCTGACTATTCTACGGTTAACCTTAATCCGTTCTCTCTCTTCCTAATTAATAAGAGTTCCAATGACCTGGAAATGTGGTGAAGAAACACATCTTGCCAGTTGCTGGAAAAGCGGTATCATCACCTTTTGAAATTCAGCTGGCTCAATCACATCTAAGATTTCTTCGAATTCATTTAAAAACATCACCTGAAAAATGAACGCTAATTAATCACCTCTTTAGACCAAGAAAGATCAAAAGACTTTTTTGAAAAAAAATCTTTTGATTTTTTCATAATTTATCAGATCACAAACCTCTTTTGGACTATGAACCTTGGGCCAAAATTTGAGCAGAGATAAGATAACTGGTTCAGTAAGAGTAGGATCTTTTTCCAGGAATTGAACCACACAATATGCCAACTGTGGGTGATATACAGACAGCGATTTCACCTGAAACAGGAGTTATAGGGGTTATAAATGGTGAATCGTATTACAAGAATTAAGCCGTCTGATGTTTAAATGAGAAAGAGAAAGAGCTTTTAAATCACCGTAACACTATAGCTCCAAAGCCAACATTATACTAAATATAGGATCAGGACAACATTTTTAAAAGAAAGGAAGGAAAGAGAAGAATAAATATCTTAGGGATATATATTTTAGAAGATATAATAATGACAATTCACTGTAACAGATAAAACAGTATTACTTTGTGGAGAGGAATAAGAACACGAAGAAGAAATGTTTTATGTTCCTCTTTAAGCGGTAATGCAAATCCATTGATGATACTGCCAAGTATTTCCAAAAGCTCGGCAATACCATTATGTCGTTCGGTTTCATAAATGAATGTATAGAATATATTATTTATATGTTTTCTCATGTAAGCCCTAAGACCCAGAAATTTGCCATAGATTCGATGAAGTGTAGTCTTTAGAAAATCACGCTCCCTTGGATCTTCACTGTCGGAAAGTTCGATAAGCTAAAATATAAGTGATGATACAGTTTATTTTGGAAAGTATGCAAAAATACTCAAAGTTTGTGATATTATTCGAACTGAAACAAGGACAATTAGAATCTAGTGCTAATTCAGACAAGAAGCAAAACCAATACATGAAATACAATGAAATAATTTCTCTGTTGATATTTCTCATCCTAATAATGTCTGCCTCAACAATATAAAATTTATGCCTTTAAGATGAATTTTTGGTCAATGTAACGTTTTGCGACGCCTGGTTGAAAGTCTGTTGATTCCAGAAAACGCAAGAAAAATTCATAGACCAGCTGCAATATAAACATCATAGTAACTTTCTGACGAATCTAATAATTGAATAAGTAATAATTTATTTCATTGTAAGTATTTAAACTGCAACTGTTCATAATGGCTTTAGCGATGTTATAGAAAGAAAAATCCCTTTCCTGTCCCTTTCGAAATTTAACAACCAATCAATGAAATTTCTTAACATGAAATACTAATCATCCCGGATTAATTCTACATTTCGATTTTCCTGAGAGATACTGACTGAGCTGGATAACTAAAGCACTAGAGCCGGGTGACTGTATTATTTTTTTATTACGAGAGTATGAGCACTTTCATTATTAAGATGATCAATTATAAAGACAAACTGGATTCAACTACATAATATTATATTTAAAAAACCAATTTTTTTTATTATTTATGATCCCTATTTTCTTACTGCAGAAAATTCATATTTCTATAATAAACCTGTAAATGAGGCCAAGCAGCTTCTAATGTGGGTTCATCTTCATCTGGATCGAATTCGGCACCTGTTGGATTTGATGGTGGAGACAACACGCGGAAAAGATTACAGCTAAGCTAAAATATAACATTAATTGGAGCTGAGTGGAAATATAGATTTTTGTGGGCACTTTTTCAATAAGCATGCTTATTGGATGTGACAGTGAAGAATTGACAAGCTAATTGGAAAGCAGTAACTCCATGGGAACATAAAATTTGCGTGGGATTTTATCAGAAAGATTTCGCATCTCCATGTCTCGAAATAGTTTAAAAAATTTCAGCCTAAATCGATGAGAGAAGAGAAGCATAAACAATGTAACTTTATAATAAAATTGTCAATAAGAAAAAAGAACATTTTACAAGCAAAATGAGTAAAACACCACTTTTATAAGTTTTGCTGATTTATAGATTTCTACGATACTGGCATGAAAATAGAGCACTAAATAAGCCAGCACAATGAATGTAAAGTTAATGTAAGGTTTACCATGCTAATAACTTCTGGATATATCGCTTCTGTGATAACATTTTCACAACTAAGTATATAATCCGTCAGTTCATTTAATGTCGTTCGCTTCACCTGTATAAAAAATCGAAATTATAATTGATACAAAAACAAATATCCATTACAAACATAAATTCTTGATTATTTTCAAGAACAGAATTATTTTTGATCATTTCTGCTTTTTCTTACGAAACAAACTTCTTTATATTTCAAGTCCGACAATGGGTCAACAGCAAAATCGAAGACAACCGAACATTGACGCAGTTTCTGAATAAATAATTCCTCTCGCGCAGCAGGTTCGGCATCTAAAATTAGACAACACTATATGGACACATTTCAGTATGATTTCTTCCGCGAGCATACTATCCATCCTTATGAGAAAAAAGAACTTATTAGCATTTATTAGAACTTATTAGAAAAGTTATTAGATCTTACTAGAATATTGGAACTTATTATAGAACTGCAATAGGCTGCAATAAGGAAAGAGTCAATGCGACATCTCAAACTGCGCTAAACATCAAACAACTGACATTACTGGTGAGCGAACCTTTTATATTCGGTAATTTCACAAGTTCTCGATTAGTGGATACTAAAAATAAGGAACTACTTTGTCTTCGATCCCGTCTCGTTAATGCCGGACCACCCACAAGTGCCTGCTACAAATATACAATAGAATTACAAAGAAGTTCATTTATAATGAGTGAGATAGAAGAATAAATACACAAGATTGATATCAGAAGAGTAGCTTTATAAACATAAAAGTTCACTGCAACCGCAAAAACAATTATGCTTTGTCCATTTTGACTTTGGTCATCCTCATCAATAGCTCTTATCACTGAAGAACTACAATACTGATTAAAACAGTGAACAAGGTACAAATCAAATTTTCCCCAATTTATGTGAAGTACCTTCTTGAGCGATGTTGGAGGTGGAGCATCAACGGGAATTACTTCATCAGGAACATCCACCGTTTTAATTTGGGGATTGGATGCTGGTGCTGTTGTTGCCATTCCATTCATATGATTGTTAGTACTCGCTTGCTTCTCTTCTTTTCTGTTATTCTCTTCTTTACTTTCCTTTTGTACTTTTTCCTGTTTCTTTTCCTCTTTATCGGTCTGAAGAAAGAACAAACCCTTATTAAATGAATAGTTCATTTAAGAATAAAATCTTAAGTGAACTATTCCATATTAAATGGGAAGTTACAAATGGAAAAGATTCAGACTTACATATAAATTAAGAAAGATTGTTTATTTCGATTTTAATACCACTAAGATCATTCAAAGATTTGGAAAGGAAGAAAGCTTATCAATTATTCACCGAAAAATCTTTCAGATAGTCATGTTTCCCTAAAATTTTTACATTATCTACTATCTGTGACTGTTAAAAGCTACATACCTTGCCGTCTTTGTCCTTTTTGCGGGACTTCAGCATGCTATTGGCGAGCAGACGGCTCTCGCGAAAAGTAGAAGTAGCTCCGGCAAACAGTTTGAATCTTTCTTGAATTATATTTTACAAACGTACAACAATAATTGATCGTTTGGTTGGTTTTCCAACCATCAAATACGTAGCATATCTGTAGAAATGAGATTTAATCACTTAAATCAAACATCAAAGTATTTAAACCAATATCACAGCACAGCACATTACCTTTATTGACATGTCTCATACTACCAAAAAAGTTGGATCATAAGGTAATTATCAATTAAATCTGTCAAATCACCTGTATGTTTATACAGTGACATCAGGAAATACGAGACACTGCAGAACAATTCCATCAATCTTTTCCAACTATGTTTTACTTAATACTGCAACACCCTTGTCAAATATTCGCTCACCGAAAGAAGACACCCTGAACTCATCAGCATTTTCACTTCC